ATTATTATATATATATATATATATATATATATATATGTATGTATATGCTGTAGGAGAGTTCTGTGAAGTTTTTGCTTCAAGGCTTGTGATAGGTATGTGCTTCCCTAAATAGCCTGAAGAAATTACTTCAATAGATGTAGATAGACAAAATAACAGTCCTCAATAAGTGAGTTTCCCGACGAGATACTGGAATTCTACAATCTAGAATGCTTTCAAACAAAACATTATGTATAGAATTCTGTTTTTTACTTTTTTACAAGTTTTAATATACTTGTTTCTTACACTTATACTTTAAAAAAAAAAAAAAAACAAACAAACATTTTTTCTTTCCTAGCATACGATGCATAAAACGTAAGTTCTACCAAATTTTATCTTTTTTTTTGACTTTATCAAAATTAAAACCAAGCTTGGGTTTGATTGTTAAACCGCATCAAAGTCAAGCTAGAAATCATGGTAATCTCCTATATTTTAAATTTCAAAAATATTTATTTCACATCTATAGAAGGAAGAGAAAAAAGTGATAGAATCTTAATATTTTATGGTTTAATTTAGGATGTAAAATGGTATAAAATAATATTTATTTATTTGTAGTAAAAAAAGATATTTAAATAAATTAATGAAGATTAAAATAATAATAAAGTTAATAACTTATCTATTAACTTATTTTTATAAATTAGTTGAAGTAGTTTATAAAAATAAATTATAAACTACTAGAATAATCAATACTTGTGAGAGATACCTTGATAATACCCACTCTCATCTTATTTTTCTTAATAAATAAAAATAAAAAATCATTTAACTATTTATTTACTAGCATCATGTATTATGTATTTTATTTGTGAATATAAGTAAACATAGATATTTTTATCATCTTATTTAATCATTTCCTCTATACACACATTACTATTACTTATTCCATAAAAATTAATAATGAACATATATGAATACAAACTTAAAAATGTTTTTAAAAGCTTTTTTATATAAAAAAAAATATTTTCAATAAAAAATCTCTAAAAAAAATTCTTATAAAACATATTCAAGTAGGTTAGATATCAAAATCATTCTCTCCTGTCTTCATCGTGAAACCTTACTCTCTAGTCCTGTCTTTCCTTCTCTTCCAAAAAAACAATTAGCAAAGCAATTTCGAGGTGTGTCAAGTAAGATATTCCTAGTGAGAGAGACAAGAAGAAAGGATGAAGGGCATGGAAGCACTTTAATTTTCTCCATACATACTCATTGGCTATTGGTATGAATATGATTATAATAGTGTGTGTTGACTCTTGAATTGCCAAAAGGGATGAGATGATACATACAATTCTATGCACGTAACCTCGAGATAAACAATGAGAGAAAGAGACCATAAACAAGAATGGAAAAGCACCATGGTTTATGTCAAAAAGTTACTTTTGGTGGGATACAAACAGGGAGACAAAGACAAAAGAAAAATGACTTTTGTGTATATCTGTGTTAATTTTGCCTTTGCCATTCTAATTAATACTGCATGGCAGATAAGATAACCAGTGTCACAGGCATCACATTCAATTCTCCTCCGACACCCATTCAATGTAGGTCTTGGTTCAGAGTCTAGGACATATCACTATTAAACTTATCGGGTTGCCTGCAAATTAAACGGATCTATCAAATTATGGATCCTAGTTTATCTATTTTGACTCGTTAGTTAATGAGCTGACCTATTTAATTATATAATATATTAAGATAAAAAATAAAAATTGAAAATTTGTAGAAGTCAATAAAAACAAACAATATATACATTCTGGGTGCTTTACATATTAAACTCACTGCCTCGAAATAATATTTTTTTTTCGTTCCTGGAATATCCAGATCGATGGCTCCAAGATTTAACACGGCTGCATACACAAGATAGGATTTAAATCCCTGACATTACTTAAGCGTGGATCAACCCTTAATGACAAAAGATTCTTTCATGAGTACATATTAATTTTTAATTATTAATTTTGTGATATTGGATGAATTTTGTGATACAGATATGAAATATTGACCATTGATATGTCACAATTGTTAACATGTATTATGTCACATCATTATTCGTATATCCCATAAAAAATTCACTCTATCAATTAAGATTATATATTAGGGAATAGCATATCATGTTAATAATCAATTAATAACATGTAGCAATCAATTAATGAGAGATAAAATGTGTAAGAATTTGAAAGATAAAACTTAAATATAATTCTTAAAGTGTGGTCGGTATTATTTTCTTTTTAATAAAAATTGGGGTTTTACCTCAATAATATGTACCTAAAATTTAATGTTAATTTCATTAATATACATTTATATTTAATTCTAATCAAATTGAAAAGTTGATATTTATCAATTGATTTAAATGAAAAAAATAATTTAATTTAACATTGTCAAATTTTAACACTTACAAAAATAATTTTTTAGGATTTGAAAGTGGTAACATTCCCCTTTACAAAGTTGTGAAATATAATTGACGAAAAATCAAATAAATCTTATTTAAATTCAAATATTAAATATATTAACATGTACTTATTAACCAATAGATTCATTTTATTTTATAGACCATTGATAAGTATTTTCTTACGGAAGTATTTCAAGCTGAATAGTAACATCATGAGCAGTAGGGGTGTTCAAATTGCTAAACTAAACTAAACTAGAAGAAAACTAAACTAAACTATAATAAATAGTTCACTAAACTAAATTGAACTAAAATAAATATTGACTAAACTAAACTAAACTATTATCTAGATTAGTGCACTATAGTTCTAAGAATTTGAACTAAACTATAATATCAATTAAATTAAATTATTATTAATTATAAATTAAATTTATTAATTATAAACTAAATTAAACTACATTAAAAAAATAAATTTAAAATTAATATTTTTAAATTGAGTTACCAAATCATTGATATTAATTATAAATTAAATTTAAAATAATTTGAAATACAAAACAAATATTACATTGACATCAATCCCTTAGCTTTAATGCTGATATGTAATTTATTATTT